CATTTTGAACGTACAAATGATGTACACATAGCTGTAATAATTTAAAAGTCGAATATCACATTAGAATACATTGTTTTCAAAATGCTTTGTATAACATACACAATATATTCACAAATAGTTTCTACAAGTGTTGGAAGTAACAAATGTAACAAATACCTCCAATGTAATGATATATCTAATCATGCAGATTAGTTTTTTTTTTTTTTTTTTTAATATCATAGATGTGAGATTGCAATTTTTACGCAATATAATTCAAACTATTTACTTTGATTTTGCGTAACAGAGAAGTCGTAAATTATTATATATTAATAAATTAGATTATGCCTTAGTCGAGATTCGTTCTCAAAAATCGCGACCGATGAGTAAGTTTCGCGAGACAATCGTTTTTCCCGCGTTTCCGCGCCCCATCCCCCGATCGTTGATCGTGCATTTCTAACAGAGGAGCACCCCAAATCGAAAATTTCGTACATCTTTTCTAACGAGAGAACTTGAAGCAAAAAAAAAAAAAAAAAAAGAGGAAGAGAGAAATAAAATGTGTGGAAGAAACAAAAATATTCAAACGTTTTATAAACTTAAATCAGAAAATTGAAATAATGCATTTTTTAAATTATACGATGTGGTTTAGCACAAATATTAGTTACAAATTATCTCAGAAAATGGACTATATCAAGATGCTTTACAAAGCTTAGGCATTAACCCATTAAGAATTAAGCTTGTTTTTTCAATCAATTTATATTGTATATTCTATTTATATTCTATTTTTCAATACTGAGACTACAATTAGCTTAATATCTTTTTATGATTGTCTTCCATATAGATTCTACAATTTTATTAAATTAAAAAAAAAAAAAAAAAAAAAAAAAAGATTGAAGTATTTATGATGTTATAATAAACTAAATTGCTTGGATCCTTAATGGGTCAAGCCATTTACTATTGATTTAAAAATCTTACTTGAAGAGGATTGAATGATGATTTTCGATGTGTAAAAACAAATTAAGCACCTGGTCGGTAGGGTGATACCACGTATAACTTAAAAACGTAGAATGTAACAGAGTGGTCTGAACGATTTGATCATAGAACCGAGTTGTAAAATATTTATTCAATTTGAGATTGAATGCATTCGAATGCTAGAAATTAAACTAAATAAAAAGAATAGATTGCTCGATGGCAGGGAAATTAAGTCATTTGAAAAAAGCAGTTTTTTAACTAATATTAACATAAAAATTCAGAATATGTATATTATAGATGGAATACGCTCATTTCTTCAATCTAATGTTTGCAACATTGTGATACAATTTCTTTCTTGAATAGAAGGAAGAATATTATACTTAAATTTTATTTAGAACAAATTAAAAAATGACTGATATTGATCACATTTAATGATGTGGGAATGATATCTACGCCGATGATGTATGTATTTTAAAATTTTTTTTATTGTATGTATAATATAAAATATAAGAATAATGGAGCAAAAACAATTTTTCCATTTACTTTATTATTTTTATTGAGTTCACATTCTTTGTGAACTTTATATTTTACAGACCTGCAATAATGATGGTTTATGACAGAAATGATTTAAAAGTATAAATTAAAATATAGAAACAATAATTCAAATAAAAAGCTGATCATATGATTTTAAAATATAAGATGAGTGTGAGAACACATTCATGCACAACATACTAAAACTATTTGTTAGATCTTTTCTCATTCAGTATATTGCCTGAGAATTACAATATGGGCCGTGTTGAAAAAAGAAATTGAAAAAAAAAATGTGTATAAATATGGACTCACCTTTATCCATCCGCCATGGGCAGTAACGACAACGTACAACAAGTACAGATCTATATCTTTTCCATTAATTTTCGGATTTTTCTTGAATGGAGTCCTGAAAAATGTAAAATATACATAAAATGATTGATAAATAGACAATGGTAATGTTTATAAAATATGGAAATAGTGATACAAATTGTATACTATGAATTTATTTAGAATTTTATTTATTATTCGTTAAATAGTAAACAAAAAAAAATTAATTTGCTTTTGTATACAAATAATTGCACATTCATATGATATAAAGACCAATAAGATGATAACCTATTAATATTATAAATAGTATTGTATTATGCCAAATTCATGTATGCATTATATTTATATTAACATAGTAAATTAAAAGACACACAAAATTAGATAAATTATACAAAAATACATCAACTCATTAATTATACGAATACACGAATTCGGTGACAGACGCAGATTCCGACTGAGGTTAAGATATCGCTTAGTATAACCGAGAAATACCTTGCTTCCGTTTCCTAAACTAATAAAACATGAACAATGACGTAACAGCGGCGTTTTCGCATGAAATGATTTACAGTGATTTGATTGTTCGAGTATTTTCACATTAGTGCTAAAATCCAACAATCAAACAGAAAAAAAGCATTAGCGTTCACAACAATCGCGATATCGAACGACATAATTGGACTGAAAAAAAGAAAGAAAAAAATCAACAAGTTAATCATAATATTGTTCATTTCAAATCGAACGTAACCTCAATCGCAATAAGATACGCGACCGATAATCGTCGATAAAGAAAAACATGAAACACACGTAAACAAATAGCTCGCACAAAGGCAAGTCTCTCTGAGAAACTTTAAACTAAGCGTACATAACCTCAACTCTGTCTACACTCTGGGTAGGCAACGCTAACCCGATTTACTTTCGAATCGTCGCAAGAATGATGGAACATGAATGTGTTGATAGTTCTCTATCAATGGAATCGACGAGAACAAATGGCAAAAAAAAAAAGAAAATAATAATAACTATCGGTG